GACTTAAGGCAGGCATCTTGACCTCCACCTTGGGCTGACAGGTCTAGATGGCATTCCCTGGGCTTGGCAAGGGTAGACAAGGGTTCTAAGGCTGACAAGAAGACCTGGTCCCTAGAACAGGAAGACCGTCCTCTAGCTGGTAAAGGTATGTGTCCCTCTGCTGTGACTCCTCCAAGTATAGGTTTCTGGGCAGACCCCGCCTGTCTGTGTCACTGGGAAAGGTAGGAGGGATGACGTGTACTTTCAACCCCTGGCTTTGACTCCTGGGCCTCACAGTGGGCTTGGTCTCCCTAGGGTTCAGAGGTCATTAACAGCAAAAGTCGTGATGTGTACAAGCTGCCTCCACCCACAGCCCCTGGACCACTTGGAGATGCCTGCAGATCCCGAATCCCATCCCCACTGCAGCCTGAGACCCAGGGTACCCCCGATGATGAAGTAGGTATACCAAGCTGGTCTGGAGCTTGGGGGCATGGCGGAGCTCGCCACCTAGCTGGGCTGTTTTGTCCCCACAGCCCTCCGAGCCTGAACCGTCTCCCTCCACACTCATCTACCGCAACATGCAACGTTGGAAACGCATACGCCAGAGGTGAGCATGCGCCGTCTCCCTGCCCCGCTCCCTGTCTCCGTGTCCTCTGCCGCAGTTACGAAACCCTCCTTTACCTCGCTAGGTGGAAGGAGGCTTCTCATCGGAACCAGCTTCGTTACTCAGAAAGTATGAAGATCCTGCGGGAGATGTATGATCGGCAGTGATGGTCCCAGTTCCCCACCCCAATAAACCTGCTCCCAACACACACTGACCAGCCCGTCCTTCCCGGCCACATAGAAGGCACTTGATGAATCGCTTGCGCATTTATTGGGGACTGACTGCACAAAGGGCATGAGCTGACAGGGAGTGAAGAAGGTGTGACTGACCCTACAGCATTTTGTTTTTGGTTTTTCGAGACAGGGTTTCTCTGTGTAGCTTTGGAGCCTATCCTGGCACTCGCTCTGGAGACCAGGCTGGTCTCGAACTCACAGAGATCCACCTGCCTCTGCCTCCTGAGTGCTGGGACCTTAGAAGATATTGACGTGGAGGTGGTTGCCTAGAATATCTGGCTGCAGATGGGGAGCCAGGACAAAGGAACTTGAGGGTTCTGGTTCATTGGCCTAGCACATCTGGGGAAGTTGGGGTATCTGTACAATTTGAGTTTGGGGGTCCTGGTTGGTTGGGAATAGACTTCCAAGGATTGGGAGATGAGAACAGGATCCAGGAACTTGGGCTTCTGGAGTTTTGAAGTCAGAATGTTAGGTTGCAAGGACAGGATCTAGAGTCTGGTGGCCCAGGCTAGAATGTTCTGATATGGAAGGCCCGTGCAGTCTGGGTCAGGAGGGCTATCCCATGAGTCACCGTGGGGAATCAGGTGAGGTACTCTGGAGTCGCAGTGAGGGTGTTTTCTACAACGCAGAAGTACAATAGGAGGCCTGAGTGGTGTGTTAGCCCAAAGCGGGTCAGTCAGGCCAAGGCCGGTGATAGTGTTTGTGTGGTTCTAGAGAGGTGTATGGGTGGGACCTGAAATCTGGGGGCAGAGCCAGGCTTACAGTGTGTGTCTTGG